GCCATTTCTATGGCACATATTGAGATAAACTAGTAGCATTAACAACCTGCTGAGAAGGATTTGCTTTCTTAGGGAAACCTTTTATGTTGTGCTAAGCAAGTTGATGAGGTATCAGGTTTGATGTTAATATCATTGCTGCATCTGGACTGAAAAAAATTTCTTTTCATCACCTCAATGTAATAATGTTGCTCAGCATGCCATGTACTGCGTGTCCTTCTCCAAACCGGAGAGGTAGCATTCCACTGAAATACCTCCTGTTAAATTTACAGATAATTATTTATTGGATGGTATTATTTCCACAACTCATAATCTTTGCTCCTTTTCAGCAATTTTAAAAATACCATTTTACACCTTGAAAACCTTGAGTCACTGGAACATTTGAGGAAAACCCATCTTGTACTACATTGGCACGTGGTGTGGAGCTCGACAATGGTTGATAATCTGGGTAGGTTCACTCCTTGTCATAGTTTACAAGTGAGATTAAAATCAGCAGCTAAAGAGCACACCTAAGACAACCTGAATATTTGAGGTAGGGGAAAATGTAAGGTTTGCTTAATAAAAGAATAAAGGAAAATCACTGAAGGAGACCGCAGACTTGAGGCCTTTTTCAAAACTGTTCCCATGAGATCCACAAGGTTTTATTTTATGTAACAAACTTTCAATTCAGTCCAGGGAAAAGAAACCTGGTTAAACAAAGTTAGACAAATGTTAAATTTGGAAGATAAGAATGTTTGTGGAGGAAAACACACAGAGAGACTTTTATAGAAATGCAGTGTTCCATGGGCCATAAACAGAGTTGATTGCTGTTCTCAGAGTGTTTCCCTCATTCCCTGCAATCCCTGCCATAGCCCAAGTTTCCCATACATCCTTTAGACCCCTGCAGCACAGTATTCCTGATGATTGCAAGTCTACACAATGCTTTCAGATCCTCTGCATAATACAATTAATTTCTAGCATCTTCACACATACCTTTTGCCATTTCATCTCTCCCTTCCCTATCCTATGAGACTACCACCACAGTAATTTCAGGTGTCATTGTTTGCTTCCTTCTCTTTGTTGGTCTGTAGGACAAGTGATCTGCTGCGTGCCCTGGGATTTAAGATACGAGCTGGTTAAATCTGTGGTATGAGGACGGACTGACAAGCTGATAATGCCAATGCACTCTCAATGGATCAAATAATGACTAACACTGGGCTCACTCTCTCAGCAGTGTCTCCTGTATCTACAGTTCTGACACACACAGCAGTAACAGAAACAGACTATATTGGAGACTGATGCACTCTGGCAGATTCGTTTACAATCAGGAAGCAGCGTCTGGATCTGACAATTACTTATCATTCATACAGCTATTACTGGACAACTACTAACATCTCTTTAAATTTTGGATTATCAACATTCTTTACTATTTACAAGCAGAAGGAATGTAATACTACCCTCCATTCTCCCTCAGCTCTCATTTTTGGCGATTTTACTGTTTTGCCTTTATTCGATTTCCTACACTTTTATACAGAAACTTTCTCCTCTCTCATTCTTTCAATGGAAGTGGTTTCTCTCCACAAAAGAAAATTAATTTTGCACTTTTCTTGAAGGGCTTTTGTACTGCTTCACAAGAGATTCCCCATGGGTGCAGCATATGAGGTCTGGGTGGTATATTCCATATAGATGACAGGCACATACATATACAGACTTACTCTGGAGCAGGGTAGCACCATGGTGATCCTCACTGTTCCCATTTTGCTTTCCTCGCTATGGTCAGTGAAACTGCTTTGTTATTTGATCATATAATTTAAAATAATTAGCCTTTTTGGCAGGTAGGAGTGGTTAGGTTGGAAAGGTTTGCATGATTAAACAATCGATGCTAAGGTACAGCAATATGAACTTTGGTTAATCCATAGAGTGATCTAATCCATACTGTAAAAACACCTCTGATTTTGAGGTTTTTTTTCAAATATTAACTTCCTAGTAACAGAAAAACACCTTCAGCCATCATCTGCATGTGGGCACACAAACCCGAAGAGGTTTTCTGCACTCTTGATAAGAGTTCGACACCGAAAGCCCTGCTATGATTTCACTTAAGGAAGAGGAAAGCCATTCTCGTTCCTGAGCAATTAGGTTTTGGAAGCAGGCTTTTTAACTTCTTATCACTAAGAACTCCTGCGGAGCCCCACTTAATTTTCACAGTAAAGAAGTCACATCACAGAGCCGCAGAATCACAGAACAGTTCGGAAAGGACCTTAAAGATTCCCTGGCTCCACCCCCGCCACGGGCAGGGACATCTTCCAAAAGATACGTTTTGAGAGGAAGTGAGACTCAGCTTCTGACGAGCGCCAGCCATGCAAATGATTTGATGCCCAAACCCTCGGAGCTCCCCCGCAGCTCCAAAAAAAACACCCCCACAAACCCCAGGCGGTTCAGCATTCCCGTAAATGGCAAGAACTGCCAGAATTATGCCACCGCCACCAGCACCCCGGGCGTGCCGGGCCGCTGGCACCGACCGAGCGGCTCTGACAGAGCCGTGCCCGCCGCTTTTCCTCGGCAAGCCCAGAGCAGACAAGCAGCCGAGGCCCGGCGGCCCCGCTATTCCCGGGACGGCCCGGGAGCGGCCGCGGCGGGAGGGGCGCTGAGGGGAG